ATCAAAGCCTCCACTATCTCTAATAAGCCACTCTGACTACGCTGTTCCTAAATTCATCATATCCAAGAAAACTAAACACAGTATCATATAAGACATGGCTGCCCCCCACCCCTTTAGCCTCTGTCAACTTTTAAGATTCGCCATGCCACAGATCTCTGTGAGTTCGAGACCAGCCTGGTCTACAAGAGCTAGTTCCAGGACAGGCTCCAAAACCACAGAGAAACCCTGTCTCAAAAAAAAAAAAATTAAATAAATAAAGATTCGCCATGCCAGATGTGACACCTTCCAATCCCTCACTATCTGTGTGGACCATCATCTTTCCTGGTGCTTCATATGGACAGGGCTCTGACTGCTTGTCTTGAGAGGCGAAACAGCAGGGTGTGTAGGAGTGTATGCTCTGAAGCCAGCCTACCTGGGTTTGAACGGTCTTTTTTGTTCTTAGGGAAGTTGCTTAACCCCTCCATGCCCCAGAGTTCTCATGTTGGAAATGAACATAGCAGTAGTGCTAGCCTCATTGGTTTGTATTAATCGAGTTAATACATATAAAGAGCTTGTAATAGTGTCTGGCAGCATCTAGTAAGTGCTCAATAAATCTTCATTCTGATGATCACTGTTATTAACTAGTTACTAATAGCTGTCATTTATTTATATCATTATGGATGACACTTGGCAGGAAGATGTACCCAAGGCAGAAACATCTGGACATCCCCAACTGAAGGTCTAGGAGTCACCCAGAAGTCACTCCTGGCTGGTGTCCCTGACAGGAATGTTCTTGTTCCTTGCTTATGTCCCTTGACCCTCCATCCCAGACACTCAACTTCTTGACAGAAACAGCTAGAAGTACAGGAAAACACATTGTATCAAAGGAGCCTGGGAACATTCTTTGCTTTGTAAAACCCTGGGCTGCCACCACCCCAGTCGTCTCCATCCCACTCACCAAGTCTGCCTTCACTCTTGAAGCAGGCTTTAAGTCTGAGCGCTCAGTGGCATACTCCAAGGCTCTGGGCCAGAATTCCTCTGGAATCCAGTTTCCCGTGTTGGGGGCTCACATGTCCCTCACCACCATAATGTTCTCTTTCTGAACTCTTCCAAGCACAAACTTTTTACTTTGTGTTCTCCTTATGACCTGGGCAGAAAGCAGTCAGGAGCAGAGAATTAGCATGATGTTTGTCTGATAGGGCAGAGCCAAAAAGTGCTACGCCTGATTTTCTAGAGGCCCGGCTGCTGGCTTCGATCACAATGAAGCACTTAAATGTGGACAGGTGTGAGAGTCAAGGATCAGTCTGGGGGATTCCGAGCCGCTCTGGTTCGGCAGAGCAAATGGGGAAACAACAGGTGTCTGCAGATGCACCAACCCATGAGGCACTGTGCCCACAGCTCGCTCGGGAGTTTGAATTCTCATGAAATGGGTCCTTTTGTAATGCCCTCCCCGTCCCCACACACTGGTTCTCCATGTGGCTTCAGAAATTCTGCATCCTGAGGACTTCTGCCAGCCTTGGTTACGGGTAGTTAGAGGTTTGGTGCTACTCACTCAGGATTAGCTGCCCTTGGAACCAGAAATTCTGACATTTTTAGGCTGTTGGTTGATTATAGAACACTGCAGTCATCTCTTTGTATAGTAATTAAGGGGACTTGTTGGCTTGAGCACATGGTTAGGACCAACAGAACTGAAAGGACATTGGCCCACTGAATGGGGACCCCAAATCTAGGGTGCTCAGAGTCACTAAGATTTCTCTGAAAATATGGCATGCTCAGGCTTGACAAGCAGACATATTATGGGAGGGAGAATTAATCTGACAACCCCCCAATATTGGAGTTAGAAATTGGGTTGGAGAACTCTGTAAAATAGGCATTTCCATTCCTCTTGTCTAAGGTGGACAGGAGCCAGGGCCTACTAGATGAATCACACTTCGTGAGTTTTTCTAGCCCCTCTTACATTGTGGAGTGATGGCAAAACCCACTTAAAACTGACATGTCACCGTGTTGATCACCAGGCAGCGACAGACAGTTGCTCTTTAGTGAGGCTTAGAGGCAGACAAACTCAAAGGACAAATGGCAGCCTCCAAAGGGTAGGAAGGAAGTAGAATGCCTGGGTCTGCCGCACAGGGAAAGAAGGAAGTTGGATGAAGGTCACTGGAGGAAACAGCCTGAAAAGAGTAGGTGAACAGCTACAAAGTTCATGTGTAAGGAAAGCTGCCTGTAGGATTATTATCCATAACTGCCAGACTGGAAATAATTCAAGTATCCATCAAAGGACAACTAAGTACCCCACAGAACAACTTTATCCTGGAATACAATACAACCATTAAAAACACTGGAGAAGATATAAATGTGCTGATACAAAAAAGATATCGTGAAATAAAGGGGGAAAAAACACAGTGTACCAAAGTATGCATATAATGCAATCTTTTCTGTGTTGTGTGTTTTCTTTTTAAGGTCAGACATGTAATGTTTACAAACATATTCTTGTATTGCATAGACAGTATCTACAAGGAAGTACAGTTATTCTTTGACGGTGTTACAGCCTGCTAAACTCATGGTAAATTGAAAACATTGAGAGTGGAAAATGCATTTCATACATCACAGTCTAGCCACACAGTTCACTGTAGAGCACTGCTTGTGTCTCCTGGCTGATGAGCTGCACCTGGCAGCCTCTGCCCAACGCCCACCAGAGAGTATTTTGTAGCATATTGCTAGGCCAGGAAAAGATCAAAATCCCAATGCTCACTGAATGTGTGTTGCATTGACACTGTCATAAAGTCTAAAGCCATTAAGTGGAACCATCGTAAGTCAGGACTATTTGCACAAACACGGTTGGCAGCATCTCCAGGATTGGATTATAAGGGAGGAATTAGGGAATTGTTACTTTCAACTTTGGAGTCTTTTATAAGGCTTGTCAAGTTTTTATACGTACAGGTATTGTGCCTGCATGTATGTCTGTGTACCATGTGGGTGCCTAGTATCCAAGAGGCCAGAAGAGGATGCTAGTGTCTCTGGAACTGGCTGCAAGCCGACCATGTGAGTGCAGAGAATCGAACCTGAGTCGGCTAGAAGAGCAGCAAACTGCTCTTAATCACCAAGCCATTTCTCTAGCCCCTCGGATTGACAATTTTATTTTATTTTTTTATTTTTTTTAAACTTTTGACAGTGACATTTGAAGATCTGCTCTTGGTATATAGGTATCTCATCAACTGCTGTCCTTTTTTAAAAAAAATACTTATTATTTATTGTGTATACAATATTCTGTCTGTGTGTATGCCTGTAGGCCAGAAGAGGGCACCAGACCCCATTACAGATGGTTGTGAGCCACCATGTGGTTGCTGGGAATTGAACTCAGGACCTTTGGAAAAGCAGGCAATGCTTTTAACCGCTGAGCCATCTCTCCAGCCCTCAGATTGACAATTTTAAACAACTTTTTACTTTTTAAAAAATTCTGTTTTAAAAAGACTTTGATGATTTCAGCAAGGTGAATTTCCTAATGAAACAGGCCCTCTGTATCAGTGGATTCAGTTGTGTGAAGTTGGGACTGGAGAGCAACAGGCCCTCTGTATCAGTGGATTCAGTTGTGTGAAGTTGGGACTGGAGAGCAACAGGCCCTCTGTATCAGTGGATTCAGTTGTGTGAAGTTGGGACTGGAGAGTGGCTCGGGGGTTAGAAGCACAGGCTGCTTTTCCTAGCCCCCATATGCTGGCTCATAATTGGCTGTAATCCAGTTCCGGGGGGTGCTGAACCCTCTTCCTGCTTCTCTGAGCATCAGGCATATACATAGTGCACATACTTACATGAAAGCAAAACACTCATACATATCAGATGAAGATAAATATAAATTTTAAAAATTTTGTATGAGGATTGAAAATATTTTAGGAAAAAGAAACCTTTGTTCTGAATGTGTACAGACTTTTTGTCATCTTCTAAAATAATTTCATTGTTTTAGGTATTGTAGTAGTAGGCCGCTTGTTGGTTCCCGGCTATTCAGACCCAAAATAGTCACACAGAAACTGTATTAACTAAATCACTTCTCGGCCCATTAGCTCTTGCTTCTTATTGGCTAACTCTTACATATTAATTTAACCCATTTTTATTAATCTGTGTGTGGCCATGTGGCTGTGGCTTACTGGTTAAAGTTCTGGCATCTGTCTCCAGCAGGGCTACCTCTCCAGCAGGGCTACCTCTCTGACTCCGCCCTTCTTTCTCCCCACATTCACTTTAGTTCCCTCCTCCGCTTCCCCCCCAACTTAGTTCTTTGTGCCCTGTTCTGCTATGGGCTCAAAGTAGTTCTTTATTCATTAACCAATAAAAGCAACACGTAGGCAGAAAGACCTCCCACACCAAGGTATTATAAATAATTTAGATGTAACCTAAAGTGCTATGTGCAGATAATACAAGAGACTTGAACAACTTTGGATTTGGGGTCTGAGGGGATCCTGAGAAACTATTCAACTGGAAAGGTTTCCTCTTGCTTCTTTTCTTCCTTCTCTTCTTTCTCCTTTCCCCTCTCCCTTCCTCTCCCTCCCTGTTCTATCTATCTATCTCCCCTCTCTCTCTGCAGTGATGAGAATGGAATCCAGGGCCTCATACATGCTAGGTGAATGAATACTCTACCCCTGAATTATATCCACAGCCTTCACTGAGGGCAACTTTGCATTGTTAATTTACATTCTTTTCAAGCACACGTAGAATATTTGAAAAACAAAAAGCCTAGCAAGATTCAGGGAGATCCTGACAGGATGGTGACAGCAAAGGATGTCTGGATGCTCTGTCTGTCCTCTAGTGTACGAGACTCCGTAACAAGCAAAAGTATCATATTAAGTAATACTTAAATAACGCATATATACATGCCTTTTTAACAGAAGTAACAAAGGAAAAACTTGTGCTGGTGAATTTTCTCAGTTTTTTTCAGCTTTCACTTCTAATTACCATGACAGAACTCTTTGCTCCTGTGTTGAAATGCCTCTGAATAAATGATCAAGCTAATTTATATCTCACCTTTTTCCTTGAAGGACTGAAGCAGGTCCGTTGCTTGTGAATGCAGTTCGGAGTCTGAAGAAACCCTCTCGCTGGTGGTTGTAATGCTCATTTACTACTTTCATCCCTCCGGATCCTAATGCATGCCCACAGTCGCCAACATCTGAAGAATCCTGTTTTTCTCTGGAGAGGCGTCCACACCTGCCAGTCACAATAATGCTTAGATATTGACAGGGACAGATGTCCAAGATAGCTTACGTGTGGGGTGGGGGGAACCCAAACCCACAAACTACAGCCAGCTCTAGGGTAATCCAATTGCATTGGTAGATTATCTACTTATGCATATAATTTAGGCACCAAGAAAGGAAGGAGGAGCCACAACTTTTGATATTCTTTATTTGTAATGCTGAAGATAAACCCAGGCCTTACACTAGGCAGGCAGGTACTTAACATTGGAGGGAGAGGAGGGAGAAAAATAACCTTTTTGGATTTTTTTGGGGTTTTTTTTGTTTGTTTTGTTTTTCAAGACAGGGTTTCTCTGTGTAGCCTTGGTTGTCCTGAAACTAACTAACTCTGTAGACCAGGTTAGCCTCAAAGAATAACAATCCTTCTCAGAAGTGAAACTTGACAATGGTCTGGTCCATGGGGCTGCTCAGAAAAGTGCTGCTCTTGTATGTCTCATTGGTATTGGAAAAAATAAACCTGTACAACCTGCCAAAAAAAAAAAGAATAACAATCTTTTTGGGCAAATATATTTCTAAGAGAGCACAGTGGTCATGAGTAGAGGAAGAGTGAAAACTTGGGCATTTTGCTTGTTTATTGTTTAGCACTTCTAAAAACCATTATTTCTTTTTATTTTATGTGCCTGCATGTATGTCTGTGTACCACATATGTGCAGTGTCAGTGGAGGCTAGAAGAGGATGTCATACTCTATTGAACTGGAGTTGCAGATGCTTGCACATGGCCATATGAGTGCTGAGAACCAATCCAGGCGCTCTGGAAGAGCAGTAAGTGCTCTTAACCGCAGAGCCACCTCTCCAGCCCTGCTCAGCATTTTTAGTGTATACATAGGTGAGATGAGGGAACACAGCTAACTGCAGGCCTGAGATTGTTTAAGCTCTATCTTCTATGATAGGAATTTCTGACTTCCGGCCCCACTGCCCACCCCCTCAATCTGTCTGGGCTCAGTTGGCTTTCTGATTATTAAGACTCCAAACTCTGAGTTGGGAAAACTTGTCCATAGTCCCCACTACTCAGGAAGCTGAGACAGGAGTATTGATTGGCATGCTTAGGCAATATAGGAACCCCATCTCAGAAGAGAAAGAAAGGAAAATGGAAAGGGAAAAAAAGAGTATGTTCTCCATTTTTCTTTTTTGGCTTCTTGATCCCATAGAATTGACATCAACTTGGATCTTCTAATGAAACCTTACGTCTTTTTCTTCTGAATGTTTTCTTGTGCATTTCTTTATATAAATGCCTTAAGAAGCTAAGTAAGTATTGTATGGTTGTTCTGTCTCTTTAAGAGACAAGCCACGCCCACTCCCTCCCCCATCCGCTGAGGCAGGCTGATCTTCAGCTTCTGGCCTGAGCTCACTTTCTTTTCCATCTTCCTCTGGGAGAGGTAGCTTCGCTTCTGCCTCTTTCCCCACTTCTCCGTTTCCCCCTTCTCTGTCTTTTTTTCCTCTTCTCTCTCTCTCTGCCTCCCCTTCCCCCTTCCCTCTCCATAACCCCCTGAATAAATATTCAACCTCACTCGGCATGTTGTGTCTATCCATGTGTCTGTCTCCTGCCCACCTGCCATGTATCTCCCTGCTTGGGACCAGCCACTGCTCGAGGACCAGAGCCTGCTGCCTGCTGCCACATGGCCTACCACTATTTGGGACCTATAGCATTTCTGCTACCTACTGCTGCTGAGAATCTTGCAGCATTTTTTAAAAAATTATAAAAAGTATAAAATTTGTATGTAATCAATGAAATACTGAACACACAGTTTTCCAAAAGCTGTGTCTCGGAGCCAGAGAGTTAGCTCAACAGGTAAAAGCATTTGCCTCCAAAACCCGGTGACCCGAATTCAATCCCTACAGCCCATGTGAAATGCTGAGTCATGGCAAGCATCTGTAATCCTAGCACTCCTAGAGTGAGATAGAGTTCATGGACAAGGTAGCTTAGAGTATGCTGTGCAGCAGCAGAAATACGAGACCTTACTTCAACAAGGTGGAAGTCAAGCACCCACCCAGGAAAGCTATCCTCTGACTTCTACAAACTCCTTGGGATAAGTATGCTCCAACCCCAAACACAGAGTGCTGTGATTAAATCTGAAGCAACAGCTGGGTATTGTAACACTTAATTGTAACCCTACACTCTTGAAGTGGAGATTAAGAGAATGAGGAGTTCAAGGTCAGCCTTGACTACGTCTCAAAACGTAAGGTTAGCCTGAGCTATGTGAGACCCTGTCTCATAAACAAAAAAAAGGGACTGGAGAGATCAAACAGAGGATTCTAATTTGGTTCCCAGCACCCACATGGCAGCTCACAGCCGTCTGTAACTCCAGTTTCTAGTGACCCAGTACCCTCTTTTTACCTCCATGGGCATTGCATGCATGTGGTACAGACATACATGCAGGCAAAACGCCCATACACATAAAAGAAAAATGTCTTAAAACAAGACAACCCAGCATACTCATGCACGCCGTCACTCAAGAGGCAGAGGCAGGTGGAGTTCTGTGAGTTTTAGGTCATTCTGGTCTACATAGCAAGTTCCAGGCCAGCTAGAGCTACATAATGAGACTCTGCCCCTCCCCCCCCCCAAAAAAAACAGTCAAAACAAAAACAAATAAGCAAAAACATGGAGTAAACTAGCCCTTCTATGGCCAAGGATGCTTACCAGCTTTGTGATTGAAAATAGGCCCTGGAATGAGGAGATCCCCTCCAAGTGTGAAGGCTACAGTTTTCGAGTGGTGGGGCTCTCCAGTGGCGAGAGGGACTTTAACCAGCTGAGAGGTTCTCTGGGTGGAGCATTCTTTAGGGGCTGGAACTTCCTGGAGAAAGGCTGATGGGGCCAGCTGGGATTTACTGGGGTTTATCTAATAATCCTTGGTCTGGAGACACAGATTGCTGTCTGCTTTCTTTCTTTCTTTTTCTTTTCTTTTTTTTTATGTGCTGTACCAAGATAAAACCCTAGTAAATGAGAGGCCTAGAAGAACTGAAACCCCTTGAAGTAATGGATCATCCCCAAGGCCACCCAAGCAGAGAAAGTAGGGAGGAACACAGGGCTCTGGAACACAAGAGAGGGGTAGTACCTTCCAGGAGTCTTGTTGGAAGGGAGCAAGAGCCAGACCCCAGAACCAAATCTTGTATCACCTGGAAAATTCTTTACTCTCTGTGGCTCCCTGGGTTGTGTTTTTTCACATTTTCTACCTCTGTTTCCATGGTGATTAGCAGTAAAGCAGTTACCAGTAAAATAGTAAAAGCTGAAAGATGAAATGTATCTTTAGAGGCAGGCAGTGTTCCATCAGGAGAAGAAAGCAGGCTGGCCCCAGGGCTGCCCTCTGGCAGTGGAGGTATCTGTCCTGGCATCCAGCTTGGGGCAGAGAAGGCTTGGAGAGAAGTAGCAGGCTTAGATTTGTAAAATGTCCACCATTATTTGTCCCTGTATTGTATTTAATTTCCCTGCATTTGTTTTTATATTTCTAACTGAACCAAAGAATGGAACCATGACTTACACGAGCCTGTATTCTGGACTTAAAAACCCCTTCTCCCACTTACTCGGGGTCGAACTCCTCCTGTGTGGGTTATGAGTCTCAGCCCCAGTGCACTGGTTCCTGTCCTGTCAAATAAACCTCCTGTGATTGCAGCAAGGACGGTCTCTCGTGAGTTACTTGGGGGGTCGTGTTATCCCGAGACTTGAGTGAGAGTCTCCCCTCACTGGGGGTCTTTCACACAAAAATAATAAATCTTGGGGGCTGGAGAGATGGCTCAGCGGTTAAGAGCTTTGCCTGCTCTTCCAAAGGTCCTGAGTTCAATTCCCAGCAACCACATGGTGGCTCACAACCATCTGTAATGAGGTCTGGTGCCCTCTTCTGGCCTTCAGGCATACACGCAGAAAGAATATTGTATACATAATAAATAAATAAATAAGTTTTTTTTTAAAAAAATAAATCTTTAAAGGAGGAGGACTTTTCTTCTGGTTTTAATTGGCAGGCCATATAGTTCTTATTAGTTTGTTTCTATTCTCCCTGCCCTAAGGTTGTGAGAAAATGACTAGTACAGTCCTTCGGAAGAGCAGCCAGTGCTCTTAACCACTGAGCTATCTCTTCAGCCCCTTGTCTATCGTTATTTTTTCTTTTGCCAGACAAAACTTTTTTTAAAAAGTTGTTACGAGGTAAAATATGTTTATGTTTTCTTTTACAGCTTCTTGGTTTCCAGTCGTGGTGTGTAAAGTACCCCTCCCTTTCTCTACCAAGTTATAGCTTCCTAAATTTTCAAGATTGTTATTGTCTTATTTTTTCACATTTGCCTTTAATCTATACAGAGTTCATATTTGTAAGTAGTATAAAATAGGAATCCAGTTTTATTTTCTTCCAGATGGAAGTTGACTTGGCACCATTTATTAAATAATCCATTCTTTTTCATGGAATTGAAATACCAACTTTGTCATACAGTAAATTCTCATATGTATACTTGGTCTATTTCTGGGCTCTCAGTTTTATTCCACGGATCCATTTATCTATTCCCATGCCAATACCAAATTGATTTAATTACAGAGATTTTATAGTTCTCTTTGATGTCTGGGAAGACAAGTCTCACTCTTTATTTCTCCTTCTTCACATTTTTATTTGCCTCTCCCAAGTATTTATTCTGCTATGTAACTTTGAAATCATTCAGTTCATTTTCCCCTCCAAATAAAAACCTTCTTGTTATCCTATTAAAATCACATCAAATGTGCACATTAATTTTGATAAAATTGATTTTCCTATCAGTATTCTTTTATTATTTCCAAAGATATTTGCTGAGTGCCTATTTTGTGACAATCTCACAGGATAAAACAATAGACAGGCATAGCCCCCTTTCTCTTGAAGGTCAAATTATTCCATTTATCTTAAGTGGCCTTGCAATTTCACTCTTGGAAATATATTCAGAAGAAATGAGTGCTGACACCCACCTCAAGATAGTACAAGAACACTCATAGCAGCTTTAAGCAATAAACAAAAAGGAAGGCACACCACTGTTCCAATAGAAGCATGGGTAAATAGTAGTTTGTTTCTTATACAGTAGGATACCACACAGCCGTGAAAAGGAGTGAACTTCTGATATCTGCCACAACAGAAATGAATCTCACAGGCTGAGCACAGGAAGGTAGATGCCCCTAGTTAGTAATTGCCCTATACAAGCTCAAAGTCAGGCCTATTTATATAGAGAGAATCATGCCTCCTTTGGGGGGATGAATGCTTATTGACTGTGAGGGGACAGGGCCCCTTCTGGAACAGCTCATGCCTTGTCTTTGTCCTGGCCAGGGAGTATATGAATTCACATTTCTTGAGTCACATACTTGAGAACATTTGCTTTACCGTTCTAAGCAGGGTTTCAATCAAGACGAATAAGAATAAGAAGGAAATTTACCGCCATATAAGGTTGTTGTTTGCCCCGCCTGGGTGTTGAGGATGAGTGGTCTGGGTGGGCCTCCGCCTTCTGTTTTCCCTCTCTGGGAAAATGACTCTCTAGTGTTTTCCAGCCTGGGCTTCTGCAGTCTTGAAGCTGCTGCAGCGGTGATCAGCAATGATTTTCTAGCCTCTCCTCCCTTAATAAATTTATGAGACAACATCTCTGTGTGAACTACAGTACGGCT